CACCTGTACCGCAAGCATGCGAGGGCCATGCTTTGGCACTGCCTGCATATGAGCCTGCACTTTAGAATTAACCTTATTACTTATGGACTGATTTTACTATTTGAAAACATTGTGTGTAATTTATCAAGAACTGCTTTTTGCCAGGTGGTGGTGGCGCACACCTTCAATCCCAGCATTCAGGAGGCGGAGGGCAGGCAGATCTCTGTGAGTTCGAGGCCAGCCTGGTGTACAGAGTGAATTCTAGGACAGCCAAGGCTACACAGAAAACCCTGCCTTGAAAAACCAAATAAATAAATAAATAGAACTGCTTTTCCTTTGTTAAGCAGATGGGAGAGGATTGAGCACATAAATCCGGGATTAAATTGGATTGGGGCTGGATTTTTAATTCTCGTTTTAACTAAGAGCCTTGAGAGCCTTGCTATCCTCAATGGAGTTTTTGTTCTGGCCTTGAGGGTTTCCTGATCCAGCTGCCCAGGCTTGGTCCACGTGGAACTTCAAAACCGGCTCAGGCTTCTGTCAAGCCCTTACTTCTCGGGAAGCTTTGGTTTTCTAGACACCGTGGGACTGGGGAAGACGTCGCTCTGCTGTTGTCCTCTTCTGTGTCATCATCTTCTTTATTATTTTTCTTCTTCCTTTAGACTTATTATTTCTATCTTATGTGTGTGGGAATTTTGCCATCATAATATATCTCTGCACCACAATTGTGCTTCTGCTCACAGGGGCCAAAGGAAAGGAACTGAGCTTACAGATAGTCCTTAGCCACTGAGTGCTGGGAATCAAACCCACGTCCTCCTCAACAAGTGTCCTTAACTGCTGAACCATCTATCCAGTCCCTTCATCCTGTTTTCTTCAATGCCTTTTCAGGCCCAGAACTCAACAATCCTCACACAGAAGAAATGAGCTGTTGAAGGCCTCCTGTGTTCTCATTTGCCATTTGACCACCATGTGGTAAGAGCTTACTCGTCACTATTCCTCTATCATAGGCCCTCCTGGGCAAACAGTCACTAGCTGGTACCCCAAACTGGCTAATATTTTAGATAAGGGGATGGAAGAGGCAGCTAGAAACCTCAGCTTCTGTTTTGACAGGAATTTACTGGTTCACACCTGCTTACACTCCCCTAGTAAAGGAAATCTTGATATCCGAAAACCAAAACTCCCCCCCCCCATTTTCATTAGCATGATTACAGTTCACAGTCGTCTTTTGACCTTTCTTAAAATATTCTGTGGCAATATCACTAATCTACAGCCCTGGTTGTCGAAATATCGCATGTTAAGGACACAGAATAGAATGGAATATATCAGGGTATCACACATAGTAAAAATAACAATTGTTTGAGGAGACTTCTGCTGTGTGTGTGTGTGTGTGTGTGTGTGTGTGGTGTGCATTTCCGATTCACAATGTAAAAATCTATTTTTTTCCTACTGGTTGCAACCCCTGAAATTTAAAGCTGCTGGAGTGGAAATTCCAAGGGGAAAAGTCCACACTGCTAGAAACAAGTCTGTGAGGTGAGCGACTGGAGGAGTTTGGTGGTGAATGTGAAGATTCGTGGGAGACTGCTCTTCTGGCTCCAGAGAGCAAGAGGGCACCTCTGGCTGGGGTGGATTATGAATGACCCCAAAGAAACTCTTGGGAGGCCTCACTCCTAATCGGGGCAGTGAGAAGTGTTTGGCAGAAGCCGTGGGAACTCTGAAAGCAGATTTCAGCAGTTCTTGGTGCTATGTCCTAAGTGGAGAACGGACCATCTTGAACTTGCACTAGCAGAAAAGACAGTTAAAGCCTGAAGATGCTATGCTGTCCCTAGAACAAAGGCCGCCTTCTTATTTACTTCCCTACGTCTCTAGCACCACACACTCACAAGCGACCTGCCTGTCCAGGCCACTTGCGTGGCAGGAAGAGTAAGAGTCTTGTAGGCACGGCCCTATCTTTAGGGCCATGAGCTTCATGGGATCGAACCCACAACCTCTTTACATCTAGACCAAGACAGATAAGGCTTTTTGCACAGGCCCCTGGGAGGTTGATAGCCCCATCACTGTGTCCAGTAGCTGGCACCTCACGTGTGGGGTACCAGCAGTTCAGAGCTGCCTTTTTCCTCAGAGACCACACTGAGCCTGGAGTCTAGAGGAAGACTGAGCAGCGAGGACATGGATGGTTTCCAGTCCTGAAGGCTCAGCCCACTCCAGGTTACCCACTGAACCCTTATCTCCAGTCTGTTCTGACCCACAGCTTCCGGCATTCCCCAGGGCTGTGAGTGCAGCTCTCTTGCTTTCTCACCAACTAGGGAGGTCTCTTTGTGTGTCAAGCCAGCAGCTCTGACCTTTATTCTAGTCCAGGAATTGGCTCCTGGCCCACTGGCTGGCCTTGGACCTAAAGGCATGAAATCTGGTCTGTGCTCTCTCTGAGTCCTTGGCCAGAAGTCTGATGTACACGCGCTTCAGGCACACCTGATCAGTCATGCGTATCTGCTGGAATCTTTGGAAAGGCTTCAGCTCAATCGGGCCTAAGTATACAAGTTTTTGTCTCTTAGCTCTTAGCCCAGCTGCTGGATTAGTTCCTAGCCCCACCCCCATCCCTGTCCTATGACCTGGCTTCTCTGCTCTCACTTGCTCCTTCTCAACCTTTGCCTAGGTGCTCTCTTCTCTAGGCTCCCGCGTAGCTCTGTAAATCTCTTTCCAACACTGCTCAGTCCTGAACTGGGAGGTGGGGGAGGTCCCTGTTCCAAGGCCGGCACTCAGTGGGTGCTTCATGGACTTCCTCTCAGAAGTCCTCCTGTTTTAAAAAGACTGCTCACCAGCAACTAAGCCACAGCCTTATTTCGGGGTTCAAGGAGCAGGGGAGGCAGCCTAAATGGGATAATCCGTCCTGAGTCACTACCTGGGCGCTCCAAGTGACCATTGAAGGCCCTCAGGAATATGACAACTAAGCTATTTAAGTCTCATTTCTGGGGAGACATGAGAAGGATTTCTGTATGGAAAGAGAATAGATATAAACTCCATTCACATGGAACACCCTCGGTGCATCTTCCCTGAGGCCGTGGTAAATAAAAATGGGCGGAAAGGGCAGCGGCAGGGCAAGGCCAAGTCAAGGTGGGCTTCCAGTCTTCAAGGCTCCTCCTCAACCACTTCATTTACTCCCTTACGGCCAGTGACAGGCACTTTCACTGGCCATCTAGTGTGTTCTCTATGTCCTGGGTCTCTTGACGGCCACCTGGGCTTTGAGAGCAGCAGATGGGGGTTTGAGTGTAAGGAGTAGCTCTCACCAAGTGGCTGGTGACTGGGAGGCCCTAGGCAGAATCTCAGCCTGGCCTGTGGGATGCGGTGCTGGGGGGGTCCCCTGAGGCCTGGGGCGAGAAGAAACACTCAAAATGGGAGACAGGCCTGGGTGTGTAAAGTCATAAAGGCCATTTACAAAAAAAAAAAAAAAAAGGAAATGACCCTGAAGTGGACTTGGAGGTAGGGAGACCCTGATTGGGGGGGGGGGGGGGGAGAGAGAGAGAGAGAGAGAGAGAGAGAGAGAGAGAGAGGAGAATGAAATAGCATTGAGCCTTAGCACAAGAGGTCACTTCACCCCCACTAGTGTGGCCATATTTAAAAGACACAGAATTACAAGTGTCGACAAAAACAAGAAAGGAACAAAAGCTGTGTCTAAAGTCAGGCCTTCCCTCCTGGGGAGGGAGGCAGAGACAGCCAGGTCCCCTAGACTTGCAGCCCAGCCTGCCTACTCAGCAGGCTCCGGGTCAAGGAGACACCATCTCAAAATAAACAACAATAAAACCAAAACAACAACCATGATTCCCCAGACCAAACATCAAAACAAAGTAAAATGGTGACTAACACCCAAGAACGACACCTAATGTTGTCCTCTGTCGTCTACAGGCATGTGCATCTCACACACACACACACACACACACACACACACACACACACACACACACACTGTGGAGACAGTAGTTGGAAAGTAAAATGCTGCTTTGGAAACGGATCCATCCCGGAAAAGAGTTACCTGAGTGACCTGGTGATTCCACTGGAGGTATATCCAAGCTACACAGACTTGTATAGTAATATTCTAGCCACTTCATCCATAACAGCCCAAAATAAAAACGTAGATAAAGCCAAACAAAATGGTTCCTATGCATACAGTGGGAGATGTGTCTGAGGCGCTGCTACACTCCCTGCTACACTGGCCCACATACATTCAGCCTGAAGACACCGTGGAAGAAGTCAGTCACAGAGACCACATGCTGTATGACTCCATTTATAGAAAATGTTCTGAACAGGCAAATCCACCGTGGCTGGAAAGCAGATTGGAGGTTTCCAGAGGCTGGGAGAAGGGAAGACTGAGGAAAGGCTACCCACAGAGGTTTTTTATTTATTGGGGAAAGCGGGTAGTGACCAAAATGTTCTGGAATTAGATAATAACTATGGTTGCACAACTTTGTGAATATACCAAAAACCCACCGAAACGCACACTTTAAAAGCGTACATTCAGCGTTATGTGATGCTATCTAAAGTCTTGTGAAAGGGGGTGGCCTGGGGCGGGGGATGACTGCTACCGAGAGGAACAGCGAAATGCTGCACGGCTTTCGCCTCCTGTCCCACTTGCAAATTCGCATGGACTTTGAGGCCTGAAACTTCGCACCTAGCAGGCCCTCCGAGCCCTGGGGTTCTGGGGACACTGTTGACAGGAGTCATCTTGGACTGGGGAGGCGTCTGCAGGTCTCGAAGTTGGCGGCCGCTGAAGAGAGTTAAAGATTGGAGCGCCGACTCTTTTAAAGTCGCCCGGAGCGAATTCTCATTTGTGTCCCAGGCTCGGCGGTGGCTGCCGGGGCTGCGGGTCGGTGCGGTGAGTACGTGGGGCCGAGGGACCCTGCCCGATGCCAGCTGTCCCAGCGCCCGCAGTGGCGCCGTTTTGGGGTCGCCGCGGCCAATTGGAAAGCGCTCGAGGCGCAGGGGACGCGGTCGCTTTAAGGCGGCGGCGGGGCGGGGACGGCGGCGGCGGCCGGGCTGGCTGGCGCGGAGCCGCCAGTCGGCGGCGCGGGGCCCGGCGGGCGCGGGCGCGGCGCTCCCTCCTCCCGCGGGGGACGAGCGAGGAGGTGGCGGCCGAGGGTCGGAGCCCAGCCCGGGCCGGAGCGCGCGGTGAGCGGCCGTGCAGCCCCGCGGGGAGGAGGCCGGCGGGCGCTTTGTTCCGGGGCTGGAGGTGTGGCCGGCGGTGTGGCCCTCTCGGCGCTCGCTCGCCCTGCTGCGCTGCACCCGGGCGCCCGGCTCTGGCTGTGCGTGGCCTCTGCCCCCGCCACCCGCCACAGCACAACGGTGTGCGGTGAAGTCGCTCGCCGCCCGGACCTCAGAGAAGGAGGGCCTGGCCACCGCTCAGACAGACTCCTTTGACTGTAGTCACCCCGGGGTTCCTCTGTTGCCCGGGTAAGGACTTGGCGGGGAGGTGGGCACGGGGTGGTGGGGCTCTTCTGGCTTAAAATGGCGTTAACCAGGGTAGGGATATGCGGAGGGGTGGCACATTCGTGAGAATAATGAAAGACAGCTTGCTTCATAAACAACTCTTTACTGCGCCCTGGGTTCGGGTTGCTGGGGCTCTGGTCACAACTGGGGCCTGCGCTCACACACTAAAGTGACGCGGCCCGGTGCCCCACCATGTGTCAGGCTCAATGCCAACTCCTGTCCCACCCGGAAGGTAGGGACACAAACTGAGTGACAGCCCAGTGTGGTCAGTCGAAGAACTCAAAAGACCCTCCTTAGGGGCAGGAGGTCCAGGAAGACTGTCTAGAAAAGCAGATGTGAGCATCTGCGGAGGCTCTTGACATCCAGCTAGAAACCTCTGCAGAGCTGAGGTGGCCTGGGGCTTGGGACAACGTGTAGTCTGGAGAGGGGACAAAGACAGTTTCACCTGAGCTCTGACCCAAGCGCTAGTGGCGGGGAACCTCTTTGGACCACCATGGTTTTTGCTCCTCTGGACCAAATTAGAGAGAGTAGACCGATGGGGCTCAGAACTGTGGCCTCTAGAGGTCTGCCTGGACGCGGGCATAAGAGAAAAACACTTAAAAGCAAAGCGTACAGAGACCCGGCGCTTGAGGGGGGATTTGCCCATCTTCAGACAGGGACCCACCAGAAAGATGTTAATGATGGTGGTACCCAGAAAGGGGGCCGTGGACAAACAACCTACCCAGGACTGTGTCAAAGAAGTCTGTGCTTTTGACCCTGTGTCTGGCCTGCCCTGTTTTGAGTGTGTGTGTGTGTGTGTGTGTGTGTGTGTGTGTGTGTGTGTGTGTGTGTGTGTGTGAGAGAGAGAGAGAGAGAGAGAGAGAGAGAGAGAGAGAGAGAGAGAGAGAGAGAGAGAGGCGTCCACGGCGGGGTGCCGGGTTTTAAGGCTAGTACAGCAGTCTCCTCACCCCGCATCCTGCAGCAGTGGGTTGAGTGTGAGGTGGTGGCTATGTCTGTTAACTGGCACACGTCAGGGCTTAGCTCTGAACAAAGTGCTTTCACCGAGGCAGTTTGTAGAGTTTCTCCTGCCCCCTTTCCCAGAGAAGAAATCTGAGCCGCTAACATTCCGTAAATCTTCGAATTTCCTGTAAATTGCACGTCCCTGCTGGCTGGGGCTGAAAATGTTTCAGGCCGTGGTGTTTCCTCATGGGTCTGCTCACACTACCCAGCAGGCAGTTAGCATCTCTGTCTGTGGGTTTATGGTATGGTTGGGCCTTTCTTCACCAGGGTGGGAGGTGTGGGGTTTCAAGGTCAGTCTCTTTGTAGGGGGGGGGGGGGTGTTAAGCAAGTCCCGAAGCCCTGATGGAAACTACCACCCCCCAGATGTGACCTTGACATTTCCTTCTGGAGAGGAGAGCCCCCCTGGGGAGGCAGGTGACTACCTTCTAGAACTGTCTGCCTTGCTCCTGCATAAAGCAATTTCCATAGCCCTGGCTGACCTGAAACCCACTGTGTAGACCAGGCTGACATGGAACTCACTGTGTAGACCAGGCTGGCCGGAACTGATATCTACCTACCTCTGCGTTCTGTGTGCTGGGATTAAAGGCACACACCACTACGCTTGGCTGCATTTATGATTTCTCTGTGTGTGACAAATATAACGAGTTTTAGGCACAGATATTTCACCCTGATCTCCAGTGACCATCTGGAACTAGGGAGGATTCTAATGAATTGAGCCCTTAGAGTGACTGGTCCTAACATTACATGTTTCCTCACCTCCTGCATCTCCTGAGTTCTCAGGAAACTGTGATCTCTATGCTATATTTGACACGTGTTGTTGTCATTGTAACCTTGTCTGCTGATGCGATACCCCCCAAACAGTGTGCCACCCTGGAAGTACCTGAAAACACACCGCTCCTAGGTATTGCATGGTTTGCACAAACAGTACTAAGTGTGAACTAGGTTCTTGTGCAAAGCCGGAATGCGCTCTGGTGTCTAGAGGGTGTGAATGTAGGCATGAGCCAGCTGCGAGGGGCATAGAGAAGGGAAAAACGAAGGAGTTGGATGTGAGTGCCTTGCAGTTTGGAGCACCTGGCCGGGCCCATTCTACAGATGCTGAGCAGAGCCCTTTGTAGCCTTACATCATAGTATATGATACCTCTGGGCCCTATGGTCCAAGTCTGCAGGGGTGCATTGGGCTGCAATAACAACGCACAAATAACGCAGGCTAGATGAGGCTCAGATAAGGTTCCCAAAGACACCCTAGGCTCTTGTAAGATCTTGTACACTTCTGGCAGTTGCTGTGTGGGACAGGTAGCCACAGAAGCTGAGACTCTGGAGTTTAGAGTCGTGGTTTTCATGATCTTGAGACGCCGCTTTTTAAAAAGTGTGTATGAGAAGCCAGAGAACATTGGCGTGCAGAGTTGAACCTGTGCGCTGGTTACTTCTCTTGCCGCTGTGACAAAAGGCCCGAGAAAAGCAACTTACGGAAGGGTTCGTTTTGATTCACAGTTTGAGAATACAGCCCCTCCTGGCAGAGAAGGCATTCCGGTGAGACGGCTTCTGGTTGGGGTGGCAAGCATATAAGATGACTGGTCACACTGCATCCACAGTTCGAGAGCAGTAGAGATGAGTACTGGCTTTCTGTCCACTTCCTCCTTTTTGATTTAGTTCAGGGGCACCTGCCTGTTGGAAGGTGTTGCCTACATCCAGGGCAGGGACATGCATGAAACATGTCCCAAACACCCTCACAGACATGGCCAGAGGTTAGCTTCTTAGATTCTAAATCTCATGCTAGCAAGGCTACGAAGCCTATGACTCTCGGGGCCATTAGGAATCTCTGAAAATGAGTCATGGGATTGATCCTCCTGGTCTAATGCCCATTGCTTCAGCAACGGTTTTTGGAGAGTGTCGTGTGTCTCAGCCAGGTACTGTTCTTCTGTAGAGCATCTTAAAGGACAGAGATGGTGTCCAACGCCGACAGAGACAGGTGCTGTGTGTCCTCAGCCGGTAGCCGACCCTGGGAGACTATGAGGAAGGGAGTTGTGTTGTCACTGCAAAGCCACAGGTCAGGCCCACCCCATCACGACCTGCTGTGCAACCCACAGTGGTGTCTCTTGTCCTCTGGGTAGCATTCTTATTCCTTGGGAGTGTCACCTCACCAGCCCTCCTTGGTTTGCCTTCCACACCCCCACCTTTTCATCTGGCTTATGTGCTTCAAGATAGTTTTCTTCGGGCCTTACCTGTCATGGGAGGCATGGAGCAACCGTGTGAATTTAGCCTGTTAATTAATTTAGTCCTTTTATGTGTCTGCCAGCTCTACTGGATGGGCTTGAGGGTAGCCAGATGGCCAAATGAAAATATGGGTCATCCCCAGCTGTTAAGGTGACAGACACATTGGGTCTCAGAAGGGCTTATTCTCTGTTTGGAGAGCCTGGTATGAGGCTACCTCTCAATGGATGAAAGTCACAATTCACATTTGCTTGTTCCACTAGTGAGATTTTGGAGACTGCCAAGAATTGAACTGATTCTGCAGCAAGGAGTGAGGGGCTAAACTGGGCAGGGTAGGGAGCTCCAAGGTCAGGCCTGGCTCTAGACTGTCTAGAGGGCTTGGGTGGGTCCTGTGCTGTGCTGGCTCAGGCTCTGCCTGTGGCTTCTCTGCCCGGGGTTGTCATGGGAATTAGATGAAATACACAGATGAAATATGCTGGGAGACTAGAGAGGGCCACAAGAATAAGAGCACAATCAGGGTTGCAGCCATCTCAAATGATAGAACCCTGACCCAGTAGTCCCCTCCAGAATATATAGTGTAGAATCACGCCCAGCAGAACCACTCCTCATCATGATGGAGAGATAATTTAAGATGTGGTACAGAAAGATTCTCATTTGAATAGTTGCATAGCTGTTACTATGCTTTACTTATATAAAAAAAAGCAGGCATCATATCAGACCTGTTTTTTTTAATGGATATTTTTCTCAGATTAATGCTACAGAAAAATTTTAGAGCCAGGTGTTATACTCCAAGCCTGTAACTCCAGTACCTGAGGCAGAAACAGGAAGATCAGCTTAGAGTCATTGTAAGATACATAGCAAGTTTGAGGCCATCTTTGGGCGACAAGAGACTGTCTGAAAAACTAAAACGAGGACCAGTGAGATGCTCAGTAGGTAGAGACTCTTGTTGTTGAGCCTGCCGACCTGAGTTCAACCCTGGCACTTACACGGTGAGAGGATAGGACTCACTCTGAAGACTGTCTCCTGACTCCTGTGTGCCAGGACTGCTCTTCCGTCTGTGACAGCTTTGGCTTAAGCTGGACCCTTGTAGACGTGGCACTCACTGCCCTTCAGGTTACTCTGTTCCACCAGGAAATTTGCTCATCGTCTTAAAGTTCCTGCCTTTCACCCCTTACCCTGTTCTACACAAACCACTTAGTCATGTGTCTTATAGGATGGGTGGTTTTGCTTTCTTCAACTTCTCAGTGGCTTGGTTTAAAGCTATCCCATCTGCATGGCCATCTATATATTCACCCACCTATCCGTCTGTCTGTCCATTGATCCACCTGCCCACCCATCTACCTGCCCATCTTCCCTTCAGCAAGGGCCTGTGCTTTGGCCCTGTCTTGTACACTTTGTATTTGTGAACCTCGGCACCGTCACCGGGTGCTGTTAGCCTTCTGCGCTTGTGGAATCCAGGTTTCAGGAAGGCTAAGCAGCTCTCTGTCATCATGAGCTTTGAGATGCTGCACCGGAGAGGAGTCTGAGCACATTCTATTTCAAGCATATGTGCTACTTCTGCTGCATCTGCTGCTCACAGAACCAGAGGACCACACAACCCAGTCTCCTCTCTGCTGGTGCTGTGAGGTCTGATTCTGCATAATCAATACCATGGGGCGGGGGCCTTTTAAGGAGAGTGGGTGGAAGACCTTTGCATGAGAACCCTGTATGCAGCGGAAACCTCAGAGGCAAACCCGTGGCTGATTCACGAAGGG